TACTGCTGGTTCGGACCCTTGCCCTGCTGGGCTCCTGCTGGTGCGCTATGACACTCCGATGTCTTATGCCCGACCTTGTGATAGTTAAAACAAGATCCCTGAAACTTGCGTTGCTGATGCTGATGTCCAGAAAAATATCTCTTGTTCTTGCCTTTGTCACCGCTCTGCCCTGCCTTGGCCTTCCCTTCCTTATCCTTCTGGAACATGCTAGTCTCAATCTCCTGTGAAGTGGCGGCCTCAGCTACCTCCCTAATTGAATAGAACCTCCTCGAGACTAGGTATCGGCGGAGATTAGGGCGAAGCCCTGCCAAGAACATCTGAGCCTGACGCTCTCCTGTCTGCCACATACCCGTGAAATGTAGCAACTCCATGAACCTGCTCTCAAAATCTACAACGGTCATGTCCCCCTGAGTCAACCTGGACAACTCAACCTCCTTCCCAGTCCGTGCTGCAGAAGAATGTACTGCCCATCAAAGAAGTATATGAAGTCCTCCCATGTGAGGGTCATCCTCTGCTCTGGAGTAAACTAAAGTCGGTACCATCTCCCGGCATCTCCCTTCAAGCTGTAGGATGCCAATCTATGCTTCTGCACTGAATCCACACTGAGTATGTCAAGAATGTTGCCCACATCCTCCTTCCATTTATGGGCTGTAAGAGGGTCTGGTGATCCCTGGAACTCTGGTGCCCTCATCTTTTGGTACCTCTCTACCATACGGAGCCAAGCCTCCTGCGCTGTGGCTCTATCTGGGACTGCTAGATGAACAGTTGCAGGCATGATCTCTGGGGATCTCTCTCTAACAGGAACGGCGTGTATCCTATGCTGCTGAGCTACCGGTGGTGGTGGTGCTATATGAGTCATCACCAACTCCTCAATGGCTGTCATCCGGGCAATAAGAGGAGCCATGATATCCACCAAATACTGAGGAGCCTGCTGCGGCTCGGGTGGTACCTGCTGAGGCTCGGATTGAGCTGGCTGCTACTCAAATGGAGTCTGCTGTGACTCTGCCTGCCCAGCTCTCCGAGTACGAGGCCTACCATGTCCTGCCATCTTGCTGCTCATAAGAAAATAAGAGTTTATGAGTCAAAATAGACCTCTATAAATAGCGTATCACAATACAATTTTTTTTTTCACAACATATAGTATTTGCACAAATACTTTAAACTTATACAAAAATAGTTGTTATATAAAAAAAAATTTCTCAAATTTTGAGATATACGCAAATATCGTCCTCACTCATACTAGGAAATCCTTACGGACTCTATACATGAATCCTAAGAAACTCTATCCTAGCTCCACGACTCGACACAGGATGATCCTAAGGATACTGGAACTAGAGCTCTGATACCAACTGTGACGCCCCTGGGTTCACACAAGGCTACAGTCCAAGGTGAAACCAAGAAAGTCAAACCTACCATGCACCACACCATGCACCGCCTTTACAACTTCTAGAATAAGACTCTCAAATGTCTAAACAAAAATCTACCGTGGAACTCCAAAAGAAAATGTATAACTAAATAGACGGCTGAAGCTAAAATGCATCGCCATCAACCTGCTACTCTCCGGGCTCCTGGCTCGTTACCTGAAAGGGGGAGGGACAACGAGCGTCAAAGCGCTAGCGAGCAACATCACAACCAACCCCAAGGGAACAGGGCTCGTTGTATAAGAAAATATAGATAATACATAATAGATCTAAAATCATTGATCTTACTAAAGAGGATTTTTAGTACCTAGGAATTTACAACACGAGCATAGGTACGTCGAGCGAAATAATCCAAACAAGCAAACCCTCATGTATATACCTTGTATCTCAAATTGTAAATTCCTAAACACCAAACCCGAAGTTCTAGTACAGGAACATTAATAAAAACTAATCTCAGAGCATAAATACAGTGCCATGTCATAGCCTACATGAGTATCATGTTATCATGTCATAATCTACATAAGTGTCATGTCATAAAACTCCTGTGAGAAAGTCATATACAGGGTTAAGAAATATGTCCGATACAGGAACTAGATACTGTGGTTTTCCAAACACATGGAATAAGTCGCAAGTGTCCAACACGAGGAAAAAAATGGATTATAGTCCAACACGAGGACTTCTATGGATTATAGTCCAACACGAGGACTGTGTAACTGTGAAAAGTATATGCGGACTGATATACATATTCTATACTCACACGCGTCTCGGTGTACATATCTAAACTTGTGTCAAAAGTCAACCCACATGTACAGATAAATCATTAACATGGTGAACTAGTGACAGGTCATCGAGGCAACCCCGAAAAGCAACTCAAACAGATTTAAGAATCTACAAAACAACTCATCAGTCAACTGAGGTGTCGACTGATGACGTTAGTCGACTCATGTGTCGACTGACAAGCTCAGGCAGCATAGCCTCAGCTCACCAGTCGACCGATCTGTAGACTGCGGAGCTAGGAAAACCAAATCAACCCATCAGTCGACTGATTAGTCGACTGATGACTGAGATTTCAGCCCGTCGGTCGACTGATCAGTCGACCGATTGACTGCAAAAACTCTGCACAGGTTATTATTCACCCAAAAGTTGATCTAAACTCATCCCCATCAATCCCAAGCATGAAAAATACTGATATTAACATATATGTACCAAACTGGAATGAAAGATCTACATGTAAACATTTATCAAAAGCCTTAAACACATAAAAACATGTTTGATACGTTTTGAAATCCATAAATCATGAAATAACTCTTGTCAAATATTTTCAGATCTAGATCTCTTTAATAAAACATTGATGATCTTTTTATAAACTGAGAAGCTCAATACTTCACATCATATACCATAAAGATTTATTCTTTGTACTAAAAATATGTTTTTGGCTCAATAAAAACTTATTAAACTCAATAAATTCGTGTAAAACAAAAGGGACAGAGTTGAGCGAGATGTTACTCGCCTCTGGGTGATGAACAACTCCTAGATCTGAGAGAGAGTGGATCCCCTTTGCTGCAATGTGAAGATTTTGACAAAAATCCTCTAAGTTCTCCCCCAAATCACCAAGAACAAAACTAGGGTTTAAGATAGGGGAGAGGGGCCTAGGGTTTTCTCAGTTCTGAAGATGAGGGG